GGCTCAACAAAACTTATGCTGATAGAAATGAAATAGTATAAAACTATTTAATTTAATTGGCAGATTTATGAACTCATTCTTATGAGAACATAATTATCTTTATTTTACAGCTAAAAATATTCATACCTTTTCATAACTGTTCAGCATCATGCATTTCGTTCAGCATTTCAATATCGAAATCAAACTTTTTACCTTCTCTCGTCGATTGTTAACAAAAATATATCTATCGTTTGACGATTTCCAAATTTAGGCAATGTTTGGAGAAAATGTTTCACAAATGGAGTAAAAGCATCTGAGCTTGGTGTAAACTTTATCATTTATTGGAGTTTAGATTTAGCTAATATGTTCTCTAACGTGTGTTGCAAACGCTCCTTCGCAAACGTTATTAACTTGAAATAACACACAATTTTTCATTGTGTTTGAACATTACACCACATTCTTTCAGCGTACAACAGTCAAATGGGTAAATAATACTTTCTAGCGTAATATTTTATTTGTGTTTTACTTTATTTTGTTTTATTTTTTATTTTTAATGCTTTTATAAGATATAGAAAAACATAAAATCGGGTGGATCCTAGAATAGCCCAACCCTTGGCGATTTTTTTAAATCTTGCCAAACTACGTTTCCGGAAGATATTTTGGAGAATTTTAATAAATAAATTGTTTAAAAAAATCATTAATTATTTAATTGTTAGTTGCTTAAATAAATTGTTAATGTTGTTTAAATAATTATTATTATTATTATTTTTTAATAATCAAAAACCAACGTTGATCCCAGTACTAATCACCAACTTGGCGAGATTTCAAAAAGTCGCCAAGAGGTGGGTTATTCTAGGATTTTACCCATAAAATCTATATTATCGTTATATTTCTCGGTAAAAGTTAACAATTGGGTATAATATAGCCTACGTCACAGGTTGTGTTGTTCCTACTAAATTTAACCCATGAACGGCATTTTCTGCGAGCCTAACTTTAAGCCACAAATAAACAAACGAAGTGTTCGATCGTTTAAATAGCTGCTCGCCAGATTTTATTGCATTATAAAGAAAAGTTATTGAAACTATATACAACTAAATAAACAACAACAACTAAAACAAATAACAACAACTACTAATAACAATAACTAAATAAACAACAACTAAATTCCATTCGTTTAGCATTGCGTCATATGTTGTTCCTACTAAATCGAAGTAGTTGTGTTTTTTTCATATTATACCCAATTGGGTATTTGCACTCCAAGAAGAAGACAACCAATACCCATGCATGTGACCTTTGACGTCAGCACCAGCTAATCCTTATCAGCAATATGGAGTATTAAAGTTGAGCCAAGTCTCTCTACATAACTCAAAATATTAATTAACGTTGAGTTAATTAAATAGAGAGTGGTATAGCAAATCAAATTTGTTGAAATATAATTCTTTCTAGTCTACTTCTTTTACTTAACTTTAATTTATTATTTGTTCATGTATTTAACTGTAACACGTGATATATTTTTGTTTTGTGTACCTGGCAACTTCGATGCATAATAAGTTTGTTTGTGTTCTACATGGCTTCGTGCCTGTCTTTGTGTTATTATATAGTGGTAGAATTGAAATATTTGTGAAAGATTATAGGCTGCGTTACTTAAGAGAATTGGTACTTGACAGGCTTGGCTTCCTCTAAGTAGAATAAAAAGAACAGTTGCTAGCCTAAACAAATGCCACGTTTCAATAATCAATCAGGATCGAGATACCCACACTACGTCACTTGCAGGTATCCCATTGGGTGACCTACTTATTTTGGCGTTTTCTTTCTTCTTCAAGTTTTTGCAGAAAACAGGCGAAATTATTAAAAAGTGAGATTTTTTCTGTTTTCGAGAAATCGAGAATAATAGGAAATAAAAAATCAGGATAGAAATAGCAGGAAAGTAAAATATTTTGTATTCAGTATATTAAGCTTCAGGTTACAGTGCCAAATCTTAGCGGCACTCTATTCTATACTCAAACTTATTTTTCCTCCAAATTTCTATTTGCACTTGTTTCTTGTTCTTTATTTAATAATGCCATTCAGAAAAGGAGTTAAATTAGATTACCCATTTAAAAAAAACCATTTTAAAAGTTTTATTAAACTATCCATAATTTTTTTTCTTCTGAGTTTAAGACTAAAGTACGATTTATACTAAATGTCCAAAAAAAATTTACATCTTTTTAATGTTTATGAAATTTCCACAATCTTCTTTAAATTTAGGTTTAATGCTGATCACTGTACAGAAATTTTATATCATTTTAACAATATTCTAGTTCCATATCAATAAACTGTTAAAATTACAAAAATATTAAAAAGTGTTTTTTTATACTTACGATTAGGTCGGGGATACTTTTCCCTTTCCTTTCTCCAATGATTCAAAAGAGCAAAACGATATAAATCGCTTTTATCCATAATTCTCACTTTTTAATCTCACAAAAAGACTACCAGCATTTGAGAAATCTCAAACAAGAATGAGTAAAAAAAAACTTTTTTAATCGAACTAACAGATGCTTCGTTTGCAACAATGTGAACAATTGTTTAAATAGTATCTTGCATAATATTTTTATATAACTCTCTATAACTTTATTGTTGCAAAAGTTTCAACACTAAGTATTGTTGAAAATATTTTTAAAAAATGGTTATTCTAATTCAAATGTAAGAAAAAATAACATTAATGATCATTTCAGAATCAAGTTTAAAAAAACTGATTTCTTCCACACATTTTTATTTATTCAAAGGATACAATTGACAAAAAAAAATTATTTTAACTTTGCTTTATGTTAAACGTATAAAAACAAGGCGGATATTATTATTTTCCTTTTAAAAAATTAATTTTTTAGGAAATTGACTCTTTAAATGTAAGCCTTCTCAAGGAGTTTATCTATACTTAGGGCAAATATGGACTCCAAATCCCCACTACACTATACTGATCTTACGTAATTTTATATTTAAATTTATTTTCTTTATTAATTTTTTCTTTATTAATTTATTTTGTTTATTAAATTTATTAGTTTATTTATCTATCATTATTTTTATTCAGTGTTGCAAAACAAACTGACCCACTTATTCATTTACTTATTTAGTGGCTTTAAGAAAAAATTCAAACATCAACTTTAGTAAAAATTATGAAAATCGATAGTAGAGTGGATAAAGCACTAAGTTGTCATTATGAAAGTCTGGGTTCGATTTCCGGCAGGCGTTTTGAAATGCACCCAGCTCTAAAACGATGGGTACAAGTTTGGCTGTGAAGTGAAGGCAGTTAGTTTTGCTGGACGCCTTACCGCCATTTTGGCGTTTGTCTCAAAATTGTGAAATTTCAACCTTTTGGATTCCTTATATCCCTAGAACGGGATGTTGCTGGAATGTTTAGTTTGTTTGGTAAAAATTTAAAACCAATAGTCTCCATAGCAGCGAAAAACATTAAATGTCACTAGTTAAAGAAGTACACCAAATGTTTTTATTATAGCATAAATTTCAATTGTATCTTTTATTTTATGTTGAATTCAGATAAAAGCTATATGATACATATATTCTCTCATTGCGTGTGTTGAATGATTTTACTTTATGCAAATTAAACTGCCGTTATAGTATTAGATATCAAACAAAACACGTCAAAAGCAATAGAACTGAATTTTTACAATTTTATTTTATAACCGTCGTTGAACAGCCAACCCAACTTCTAGATTTACGACTTCTAATGTTTAACTCCGTAGCCTTGTAATTTTGAACCCAATCCTGAAGACAAGAGAACTCCTGGATCAAGTATTAGGAAACATTTGCCTTCGTGGAGGACTTTTTGATGGAACTAACCCGCATTTGCGTTGCATGGAGAGGAAGACCACGAGAACCTTCCACGGTTAGCTTGACGGCAAGGGGACTCTAACCCATGATCCGTCTACCACTGAGGATATTTCTCGTCAGCACTGTGATCGGTGTAAACCAGATGCGGATTCGTATTGACCAGCCATCGCTGGATTCGAACCCGGTTCAACTCATTGGAAGGTGAACGCTCTATCCCCTGAGCCATCGCGGTTTATAGAACTGAATTTGAGCATAGAAATGATCATTAATTTTTAAACGTAAGGGTAAAATTAAATACGAAAAGGAGGAAGAAACCACTTGAAAAAAATACTGCGCAGTAAATTTGGTCTAAGAAGCCAAAATTTTTACCAACTTAAAAGTTTTTGAGCAGACAAGTGTTGTGATGGCTTAGTGGTTAAGGTACTGAGCTGTCATAGCAAAGAACTGGGGTTCGGTTCCGGTGGTGGCTGAAATCCCATATTGCTTCAGATCAATAGGAACCAGATCATCCGCAATGTGTTAGCGATAGTTGCACATTTAGCCGACAACAAGTCGTTTTTCTATCTCAATGTTGTTTTTATAACACCAGATTTCTTATTTTGAATTTTCTCGCCAAGTTTTCTTAATTTTATTAGTGACAGTTTTATGTCATATATGGTGGATGATTTTCAATATCTTTAAAAAAAATATTAGCATTGCGTAACTCTCTTTTTAATGGTTACAAATCAAACACTGCTTTAACGTTGATATCATATTTATTATTTCTATAAATATAACGTTTTATGACATCTTCGTAACACGTGACATTCGATGGGAGCGAACTAGTTTGAACCGGTACATTAAAAAAAAACCACACGAACTATTTTCTATCAGTGAAATTTTTTATAATTTTTTCAATCGTGCTATATATCCAAACTGAATACAGCACACAATTACGAAGCAAATAAAAGCCTGTTTTAATGTTTGCGATGTATTTATTATTTCCATAAATATAATGTTTTATTACATGGTCGTAACATGTGATCGCCGTTGGGAGGGAACCAGTCTGAACCGGTCCGTTAAAAGAAACCACATGATTATGAAGCTATGTCCTCTTTCACAGTTTCTGAAAGAACACGGTCTCTACCTAATCTTTAAAAAATACTGCACAATATATGTTTTCTCTCTCTCTCTCTCTCTTTTTCTCTGTAAAATAAATAATGTCTATGAAACTGAATTAGTTTATTCGGGAAACACTAATAAGTAGTGTATAATGGAATTCTCGAAAGATCGATGTGACGTCACATCATGAGGCATTTGCCCTTCAAATTGTCTTTCCTGAACTGGGCTAAAGTTCGTCTCTCGCTTTGGAGACTGACGTTTCTAGACTTTTCCATGTTCAGAAGTTCTTGAAACATCTCTTTGACGTTGGTGTTGTTCTTGGCTGACGTTTCCATGAAATTGCAATTCCATTTGTGAGCTTGGGCCATGCCATCTTGGTATTGCACTTCACGGTTTTCTTCCTCATCGTTCTTGTTGCCAACGAGCATCATGGGAATACCTTCAACGTTACCCTATTGAGGAAAAAAAAGACAATAAATACATTAGTTAGCAATTTAAAAAACAACTATTGAAGGAATTATTTGATGGTTGCCCATCCTAACTTTAATCAGGGACCGATTAGGACAAATTCAGGTCCAAGGCCCACCAAGTTCTTTGGGCCCTTTATAAAATAATGCAAAACTAAATTACCGAAGAGTAGTCCTAACAATAAAAAAGAATCCATTGAACTGCATGATTCAAAAGAAACATTCTAAGAAATTTTGAAAGCAGACAATTGAAGATTATTTTTCTAAGATAAAGTTTACGTATCTATAAATTAAAGGCAAATATGAAATAACAGAACAATGTTATATCAAAATAAAAATAGTTTGGTGATCACAAACAAATTAAATCAGTGATTTCTGCTAAAAGTCACTGATTAGCTGAATTATTTTTTATTTAGTACTTAAACCAACGCAAATCTAGCCCATCTTTCATTAGACTTTTTGCTAATTTTTGAGGTCCCTCAGAAATTGGGGGCCCTAGGCCCATGCCTATTGTGCCTAGGCGATAATCAGGCCCTGACTTTAATGTTCGGCAACCATCCTAACGATGTTTACCCTTCATATCTACATGTCCCGACATGAAGTGATAGAGACTGTAAATTCAACAATGCAAAACATGCATCTTTTTAGCTCATCATGAAATGCTGCTATTTTTGGAAAAACAAAACAAAAATAAGGAAAAACAATAGGACATAAGTATATCTCGAAGTACAAATATTAGAGCAGCACAACGATAGAAGCTTTTTGTTGCCTACTAAAATCTATGTGCACATGACAGAAATTATTGGATGATGTTTCACATTTATTCCTTACATATTTATTTTAAAAAGATTTAAAAAAAATATGCCCATCAAGAGAATCATATTAATATTTAAGTAATGAAAAAAAATGTCATCAATCTCATGAATCAATATTGAGCTTTATCAGAGCAAAGTAGATTAAAATAATTGAAAACTAGCTTACTTGGGTTGAAGTCCTACTTAAGTCCACATTCACCTTCTAAACTTTAAACGACTACAGTTAAATATATTAAGGTGTTTGGTGGGAAAATGTAAAACCAACGTTATCATTTTCTATATAACTTACAAACAAATGCAAGTTTTATGCTTTGCTTTCTTTGCATGGCATCCATCCGTACTAAATCAGAGTTCTACAACTTTATAACCCATAGCGTTTCACCAGATGGCGCTAAAAGTGGCTTCTATTTCATTTTAATACCGTTGTTGAACAGCCGACCCAAATGTTTGAGTTTACGACTACTAACGTTCAACTCCGTAACCTTGTAATTTTTAACCCAATCCAGAAGGCAAGGGAACTCCTAAATCAAGTATTAGGTGAGATTTGCCTTCGTAGAGAACTTTTTGGTAGAGCTAACCAGCATTTGCGTTATATGGTGAGGAAAACCACTCAAACCTCTTACGATTATCCAAGCGGCAAGGGTACTCTAACACGTGATCCGTCTACCACCGAGGATATTTTACGTCAGCACTGTGGTTGGTGCAAGCCGGACCCAGAATTCGTATCTACCAGCCATCGCTGGGATTTGAACCCGGTTCAACTCAATGGATGGCAAACGCTATATCCACTGAGCCCTCACGGCTCAAGCGACTTTTATTTTATTTTATTTTATTTTATTTTATTTTATTTTATTTTATTTTATTTTATTTTATTTTATTTTATAACCGTCGTTGAACTGCTGACCCAATTTTGGGTTTACGACTACTAATGTTCAACTCCGTAGTCTTGTAACTTTGAACCAATCCAGAGGACAAGAAAACTCCTAGATCAGTACCCCCAGAGGAACTGATTTGTTATGGGAACATGGAGGACTTTGCGACTCGACAGATTTAATGTGCATCAGTCACCATTTACTACTCGGAGAGTCTTCGGCCGGCAGGGATCGAAGCCACGATCTCTTGGACATGGGCCCAGTGCCCTACCAACCAGGCTATCCCGGCCTTAAGCGGCTTCTATTGTAGAGATTGCCACTTAACTTTTATATACCACTTTCAATACGTACAGCTGAAGCTGGTTGAAAGAATAAACACACATTTAATTATGCACTCTCTGTAAGGCGCAGCTCTTACAGAACACCCTGAATGAATAAATAAAAGCTCAATTCAGATGATTTTACCTTTACTTCACTTATAAGAGCGTAAATTGGCGCAAGCTCTTCAAGACTCTGCTTGCTGGTGATGGCATAGACAAGAATAAAAGCATGTCCTTTACCAGTATTCAATCTCTGCATTTCTGGAGATTGGTGACTGCCTGTAGTGTCTGTTATTTGAAGAGTATATATATTCCTGTTACATGTGATCACCTGTAATAAGAAAAGTGGAATACTACAATGGCTTGAGGAGTACAATTAACATTTAAACGATAGAACACAGAATTGATCAAAAATCATCAGCTGAGTGGATGAGAAGCTTAAGTGTTGTTTTAGTGAATTTAAATGAATTCGCGTTAAGTTCATACATTAACAAGAGGAAATAAAAAATTATGACATGCCTTTATTTCCTCTAATTGTTAAGATACATAAATCTCTTGCTACCAATTAAACTGTATGCGTCTTAACGTTCTCAATCTTGGTGTTTTAATTTGTAGACAAAAGAGTGACTTTCTAAAGTTACGCGTCAACAGTTTTTTTTCTTTTCGCCAAATTCACTTGGAACCTTCATCAACTCCAAAATCGCTCAAAGGTTGCCACTTTGTACCTTCATCAATAAACATTATTATGCGTAATTTATTGACTGTGCAAACTGAATAACGGATCTATATAGTTAAGTAACACTCAGATA